GGGGGGGGGGGGGGGGGTAATTTAAAATTGGTAAAATCTTCAAGAGTAAATTCCATATTTGATCTTTTATAACATGAGATTTTTTATATTTAGTCCTCTATTATCAAATATTACTCATGTAATCTTTCTTTTATGAATACCTTTCTATAAGAGCACTGGAAATACACATGAAGCCCCGAGGCTTCAAATCTTTTCTCCCTGTCACATCAGCTTTAACTTACCTCACAATTTCAGTGGAAATGAGTTTGAAGCCCCAAGGCCTCAAACTGGGCTTCAAACCTCATTTTGGCCTTCTGTCATATTGATGTTAATATGATGTCATATTGCTGTTAATATTGATGTCAAAAGTAATTCTTTTTTAGCCTTCTGCCATATTGATGTTTATTAGAAGGCTAAAAGTAGAAGTTGACATCAACATTATATTATTTGACGTATTCAAATGTCAGTTAGACGGAAAACACAACAAAAATAACTATGACTGTATACTAAATTATGACAAAAGACAACATCTTTAAACTGTGATTGACTGCATGCGATTTACAAGCAACATAATAGAAGCGACCTCTAGAATTGTGTATTACAATAAGATTATGATCATTGTGAAATTACACTCTTAGCCTTCTAATTAACACCAACGTCATAGAAGATCAAAAAATGACTCTTTGTCGAAAGATATCTATAAAAGATAAATTAAGGATAATATTTAATAATAAAGAATTAAATAGGAAAATTCTCATATTATAAAAGACCATTTATAAAATTTACTCAATCTTCAACTACGATCTCATTTTTTATTTGTGGTGGACAGTGATTTTTACTGCTTTTATCTGAATGGTGTGCTTAAAATTAATATATTTACAAGTAAATACTCATTTTAGTCTCTATAAGTACATTCACAAATCAATTTGGTCCCTGTAAGTTCAATTTAATCAAATTAGTCTCTGTAACATGGAAATATAAATCAAATTAGTTGTTTATGCAAAATTAATCTTCTAAAACTCTAAGTTAACACTATAATTGACGCAAAAAAATAATCCGTAATTCACAAGGTCATTGCTCTTGCATTAATTACTGTGATAACTCAAAATTTTATGAGATAAATTTTGTTCGAAGGACTTACTTGGCTCACACTTTTTATACTCCGTATATAGAAATTAATTTGACTCAAATGAACTTACACGGACGAAATTGAATCTTCAATACATTTAGAGGGACCAAAATGAATGTTAACTCTAATATTTACCCATTTGTGTTGTGTAAGTACTGGTTGTACAACTTGTTCTCCGTACAAAGTTATGTTTAAATATTAATCTTATTTCATTTTCCATTACTTTTATCCAAAAAAACAACTCCCACGTCACCCAGCCACGCCGGTGACATAGGTTTTGGAGTACAACTCAAAGGTCCTCATACATATTTTCTTTAAACACCCAAAGGCCCTTAAAATTAAGTGTGTAAGAAGTAAGAAGTGAGAGGTGGTTAGTAATAATGGTGTCGAAGGACATTTCTGACATTTCAATACGGACTATGACTTTGGTGTCTTATAACCCGAATGTACCCCATAAATTTTTACACACTAATTTAAAGGACCTTTCCTTCGCTTGTGAAACTAACATTCCTATTTCTTCCAGCCTAACGTCCTCAGATTAGCTGGTTTGAGTTCAACGTGCTTCCCAAGCCTGCAAAAAAAAAAAAGGCAAGCTAGTAATAAGAGGAAGATGATGACAGGGAAAGAGCATAAGAAGAGCCAAATAACAACTCACGGAAGATCTGATGGAAGTCTGAAACCGCCTATTCTCACACGCTTCAGTGCATGAATCTAAAATAACAAGAACGATAATAAAGGATAAATCAACAGACTTTTTAACATTGACTATAGTATATACCACAACACATGAAGAGCATTCGCTATCCATGATAATGAAAATGATAAGGAAAAAAAAGGTTCGTATCAACTACACAAATGCACCTCGAGTCCTGCATTCTTAACAATCTCCCTAACTTCATGGTTTCTTCCTTCGTGAACCTGATCCAATGTAAACAGAAGTTTAACATGTACATTGTACAGTCCATCGTCTTTGCATAATACATGAACCTCATTGTGCAAGAAACTGCTTTATTTGATCCAAGTGACTTCAATACTTCATTGTTTAGACTTGCAAGACATGCCCTGCTTTATTTGGTCCAAATGGTTTTATTGTTTTAAATTCCATGCACAGCTTATTTTTAAAAAAATGGATTTTCTAGACTTGCAAGCCACGCCATGATAGCCCTGCACAATGAGTAACATTTTTTGTGCATCTGATTATTCCACCTATGACGCAAATTTTATTATAGTTATTAACGACCTTATATATGTCTACTTATGAGAGAAAAGAACACAAAATATTCAGGTTAGCTCTTCAATTCCCCACATTTTTAAAATAGAAACAAACAAAAGAAAAGGGGTACAGTACCACTATCCGAAGGCGATGCCTAGAGATACCAAGCTGCTTTGGTAGTAATTCCACAAGATCTGGCATACATTGGACGCCTTCAATGGTTGTTCCCTCACAGAGAGCATTCATGTGTCCTTTATTCACCTCCCCTTCTACTGTTGCAATGTATCTGCAACAGTTATTTAACATGATATCGTACACCGACATGGCAAGATGGCCAATTTCAACAACTCTAAACATCAAAAGTATTTAGAATGCCTCAACTTAATCATAAAGATCTGCTAAAGGAAACTTTTAATACAATATTTGTTGAAGTTTCTCCTTTTGGTCTCCCAATAATGTTTTGTTTTTCAGAGAACATTCAAAGACATGTACTTATTTAATTGATACTCATAAAGAATTTATCCAAACGTACAAATGTGAATCAGTTTTAATATGAATTGTTTTAGTTATTACTTGCCTATTGTATTTTTCAATTCAGATCTAACTCTAAACCCGTTAAACCAGCCACAACTGGTACCCAAACCCAACTTTGAAAAAAATGCACTTTCCAGATGAAAGACCAGACCTAGAACAAAAAGAACAATGCTAGAGTCACAAACAAAAAAGTCACAATTCACAAACTTGCTATTTGTGAACCCCCACCAAAAGAATAAAATAGTCAAGGACAAAATTTGGCCGCTTTTGCACATATGGGCCAAAAGTAATAAGCGACAATCGGAAGAGACCAATTACAAATACATCTTTTCCTTCTACTGTCACCTGTATTTTTTTAATGCGAAGATATTAATGAAAATAAAGAAAAACGGTTCCAAATGAACAAAAATAGGCATAAGCATTAAAAGTTAAGAGAAGAAGATAAAACCTTACTCCTTTGACATATTTGATGAGGGATGTGAAAGTTTTTGAGCAAACTCTCCTGGAACAATATCAAGATTCAGGAACCATAAAAGGGGAAATGCATAAGTTATCTCTGATGAACAGAAGAATATAGATGCAACTTGCCAAGTCACACTTAATATAACATTACCATCATTTGTCACAATAATCAAGCCAGTTGTTGATACATCGAGGCGTCCCACTGTAAATAGCCGCGGTTTAGGGTCTCCTGGATGCTTTTTATTCTGAGACAAAAAAGTAGAGCACATGAAAACACGTCAATGAATTGCTGCTGGAAAAACCAAGATTTATTTAGGACAATTCCTACATCCTGACCCCGTTGGCCCCTTCTTCCCTGCCAAAAATGTTGTTGAGTATCTCATATTGATCCTTTATTGGGTTTGGGTTTACTATATAATGTGTGGTAAACCTCACATTTCATAAGCATTTAGAGTTAAGGCCAACTTAACATGATATTAGAGCATGATGGTTTTTTTTTGGCGGGGGGGGGGGGGGGGGGGGGNGGGGGGGGTGCTCCCACTTGGTGGATTGGGGCAGTCTGTTTGGTTGAGTTGGGCCCATTTTGTCTACCACTTGAGTTGCCTATCCCAGTGGACAGCAGGGAGTGTGTTGAATATCCCACTTTGATTGTCTACTGGGTTTGAGCTGAATATATTAATGTTGAGGTAAACTTACTTTGTGAAGATCATGTTGAGTCAAAGTAGACCCAATTTAACAAGTGTACTCTCCTTAACTCAAAAACAAAATAAAATAATATTCCTATCAAGTCAACAAAAGACAAGTACATATAGATATGATACATACCCAGCTCTTCATAAAATCGTCAAAAAGGGATATGACCGGCCTGGTCTCTTTCTCGCCAGATGAACAAATGTACCTAAAATATCATCAACAATGACACTATTTGCAAAACAGAGCACCAATGAAAGATGCTTAGTGAGTCAAGGGGAAGATAAGCTAACCCTTTTGGCTTGTTCAATGCAAAGTAAACCTTTGGAGGCAATTTCTTAGATATACGCCTCCCATTAACATAAATTATATCCTTTGCTGGATCAACCCTGGTCTGTCCAATACAATAAATAAAATCAATAATATGAAAGATGCCTCTAGAAAATACTCTGCAATATATCTAGTTTTAGCTCTTTAGGACCCATGGCAGAACATAAATCTCCAGGAACACTGTTGTTGCATTGTGAAGTGGTGCAAAACCGTAAATGGTCCAAATGACCATTTCCTACACTTCTATTGGCTTCTCAAAGACTAAAAAGTGATTCAGTGATGCACTAGTTTTGGAAGATTGCGCCAACAATTCAAACTCATATTGGAGACCAGCATTTCCCTAACCCTAACTTTACCTGTGGAATATTGCAAACGGAACCATTCACAGTAACTCCCCCCTGAAAAATCAGTTCTTCACAGCTCCGTCTTGATGCGACTATTCAACAAAGAAAAATATCTTATACTACTCAGTAAAAAGCTCTTATAGATTGTCCCAACTGATCATATTGTGAAATATCACATCCTGCTAGCAATCCTACATTGTTGTAAACTTGAAAATGATGGAGATGAATGATTTGAGAAAAGTAGCAAATTTAACACATACAGAAAGCCAACAAGAGCCTGCTAAAGACAAAATATAGTAATGGGTATTACAAACATTGAAATAAAAAAGAAATGTGTCCATTACCTCCTGCGGCAGCAAGGATTTTGCTAAGGCGTTGCGGAGGGTCTCCAAAATTCTCGTTATAGAACCGGCGAGCAGCTTTGGAATACTTAGAAGTGCTCTGGCTCTTCTTTTTCGTACTGCTCGTCTTCTCACTTGCCACCGCGTGGAGACGACGCACGGGACTGGTTGGCTGAAGAGCGCGGTTCCTGTTTCCGTCGCGAACGATCCCTGGGATGTGGAACAGTTCATCTGCTTCGCTCTCCCAGCCGTTTCTCAATTTTGAGGGTGGATTAGGTTTGGAAGGCACGAAAGAGATGTAGATGGTGGAAGTGGATAGAGAGGCCGTGATTATTCGCCGGAGATGAAACTGAGTTAAGCGAGCTAAAGGATGTGACCTCGAGAGATTGGTGAAGGCTGAGGCGGAGGTGGCCGCCGCTACCAACGGTGGTATAGCCGCCATTGGAGCCGGGCTAGAGTTGCGGTGGTTTGCCTGGGCTCAGCTTGAGTTCGTGTGTCGCCCGAGTCGGTCCAAGTTCGTGTGTCGCCCGAGTTCGTGTGTCGCCCGAGTAGTTTATGCAGATCTAGGCTATACCCTATATGGTAGAGTGCCAAAACAATTCCGTTGGAGCATTGTACCCAAAATTTTTACCACATTTGTAAGTGTTGGTGCATTAACAAAAACCTACAGAGACACAAAATGTTGGTGCATTAACAAAAATTAGTATTACACAAATACAAAATGTTGATGCATCCCTGCAGTGTACGAAATGAGGTACAAATTCTTGGGGTACAAATAGCATTATTCAATTCCGTTCCCAAGAATAAGGAGTGGGCTCGGATGACATTGCCGACAATGTGCTTCCGTGGATATCTTTTAAATACATATTATAATCGGTTCAAATTAGATAGGTCTGGTTTAATTTCGATTCAGTTTTTATTCGATTCCAAATCGGTTCAGATTTGGTTCGTATGTCTGTTGGTTCGGGTCAATTTTGGTTTCAAATACATTCCGGTTCGAATATATTTTGGTTCGAGGATGTTTCAGTTTCGAACATATTTGCATACATGTTATTTTCAAATTTAAAATTTAATCAACCATTTATTTTTGTTATATCGCATATATTAGACTATCATCAATGTATGACTTCATATTATTCTATATTTTTAATTATAAGCACTTACCCGAAATATCTTTTATTTTTATCTTTTTAGTTATATTTTATAAATTTAAATTATGAATTATGAAATAAAAATATATTTAGTTCTGATATAAAATTAACATAATTGAATTACCAAACTACATATAATTTGGTTAAGATATGTTGAAATTGAAGAAAAAATGAATGCAAATAGATAAGATTTGAGTGAAATTAAATGCAATTCAAAGCATATGTTTGGCCAACCACACAATATTAAATGAGAGGGGGTGAAATTGCCTTTTTAAATCTGCTCTAGTTTGTATAAATTTTAACTAAATTTTTTCATGTTAGTTGTATTGTTCATTTTAATATATAATACTAATTTATAAATAAATAAGTTTAAAACATATGAAATTTTATATTTTGTTTAGATTTGGTAATTCGTTTTGGGACATAGGAGTAAGTAATACAACTATATAACTAGTTCAACGGTAAAATAAAAGTAAAAAATTTGAAATCACATTAACATAAAAGCTCACTAATGTACATAAATATAATATTTTTATTGTCACGCAGAATCAATTTCGGATATAATCGGTTTCGGATATTATCAGTTTCGAGTTTTATCGACTTCAGAGTTTAACGATTTCGAGTCTTATCCGTTTTGGATCTAACGGGTTTCAATTTTAATCGCTTTCTGATCTAATCGATTCCAGATATAAATCAGGAATGAATATAATTAGTTTGGTTCGAATCATTTTGATTATTCGGTTATAAATCGAATCTTCACTTTTCGGACCATTTTGGTTTCGAATTATTCAATTCAGATAATCGATTCCGACTCTGTTTTGTCAGGTCATTTATGGTTATATGGGTAGGGATGAGCTAAACAACCAAACCCATTTTTTTAAAAAAAAGGTTCTATGGTGGACCTAAGGTCAACATTAGGGATGTAAACAAATCAAATACTTTTAAGTCGGTTTGTGATTTGTATTCAAATATAATGTTTCGAATTCACATTATTCAAAAACAAACTCAAATTCAAATATTTGTTTTGATTCGAATATTAAACAAATACAAATACAAATATGAGTATATTCGATTCGGGTGATATTCGTATATTCGAATATATGTATATATACCCACAAATCATGTTTTAACATCAATAGTCAAGTAAACTAATATAGTATAAAATGTATTTAAATTACTAAGCTAGAATTCAACCAATTAACGTATCACGAAAATCTAAAGCATATGATTTTTAGTTATATTTTATAAAATATAATTTGTGTAAGATGAAAATGTATTAATATTTTTAGATATAGTATGAGAAGTATCGTGAGTTAAATTATTCAAAATCTTTGTTGGTCTATCATATATATTATGGAATATAATTATTAAAATATTCATTTAAGATTCGCAAAGTATTTGAATATTAATCAAATACAAATTCAAATCTTATTTTTAATTCGTCTCATATTCGGATTCTGATTCGTATTCGAAAAAATTAAACAAATACAAATTCAAATATATCGATATTCGCTTCGATTCGGTTCGTTTACACCCTTAGTCAACATGGACCTTCTCACATACGGAGTAATTTTTTTTAATTTTGAAAATACTTATTTCAATAAATCAGAACTTATATCAATCAAATCAGAACTAATGAGATAATATGACCTTTAGGGTTTCACATTGTCTACGAGTAAAATTATTTTGGGACATAAAAAAAAATTCAAAAAACTATTGTGGGACAGAAGTTGTAGTATACATCCAGAATTCGTTTCAAATTCAAGAAACCCTTTGAATATACAGCTTGTGATGTTGCACTAAGCAAGGCTTCCATTACTCCACCAGGAAGGAAAGCTAAAAACAAAAGCTTTCATTATGTGCTATTCAACCGTATGTACAGAAAACATTCTTTAACCAGCGTGAATTGAATTTCAAACTTTCAGTTACCGTGGCACACATACCATACATATACACATACCTCTTGAAAGCAAAAGAGGAATTTGTGGTGCCCATCAAACTATGGAGTATCAGCTCGCTGGAGAAGCTCCAAAACGGCGCTCGCTTTCCTCTTGGCCCTATCAGTCCCATTCTCAGACAGCCCTTTCAGTACCTCTTCCGCCCCAAGATCCCTAGCGGCTTTCAGGTTCGGCGAGTCACCACCACCACCAGTGCAGAGGGCCCACAAAATAGCCGCGGCATTCTCCCGGTTCCGTGGGGAACCGGTCCTAATCACCTCGACCAAAACCGGGACCGGCTCAGCTTGACCAATGGCCACTTTCCCCTCTTGATGGCTCCCAAGTATAGCCAATATGGCTAGTGATTCATCTATCATCCCACCTCCGGGGTCTTTGAGCAACCTCATGAGTGGTGTCACAATCCCTGCCCGCACTGCCCTAACTTTGTTCCCTTGGTAAATTGAGAGGTTGAATATGGCAGTCGCCGCATCCTTTTTCCCTCTTGGGGTCCCACGGCACAGCAAATCAATGAGGGCAGGTATGGCTCCGGCTGCCCCAATCGCCACCTTATTCTCATCGACAACCGATAAACTGAACAGTGTTGCCGCTGCATTCTCTCTGGCTTCTGGGCTACCGTTCCTCAGTACCTCTACTATATCAGGTATGGCACCTGCATTTACAATAATACCCTTGTTGCCATCATTTATGGACAGGTTAAGAAGGGCAGTGACTGCATGCTCTTGTGTTCTAGAATCCGTTGAAGAGAGTAGTTCGACTAGAAGTGGAATAGCGCCTGCCCCCGCAATGCACACCCGGTTGTCCGCATTTCTTTTTGCAAGTAAACGGAGCTCGCCCGCAGCTGCCCTTTGCTCATCGGGACTGCCATTTGCAAGTTTCTGTAACAAAGAATCAATAGCGGCACGATCGCAGTCCAAACCGCCCGTTCCTGACCGTTTGTCCAGACACTTCCCTTGATGGTTTTTGGGAAGCTCAACACCATTGCTCTCACACCACAATGCAATCAGGCTCTTCATGACATAGTTGGGAGTCAATGCCGTGTGCAGCAAGGTCTGTTGTGTCTTAGGGCAGGTTTTGTGCCCTGCATCCAACCATTTCTGTATGCATGACCTTTCATATGTCTGCAAAGGGGAGAAAATGCAGAAAAAAGAGTATTAAAACTGGGATCGAATCACCTCAAAAAGATCCTCAAGAGGTAAGAGGCTTACTTGAGAATTTACAAGACTCAAATCTAACAGACATTCAATGTAGGATCGCTCAACAACCACAACTGCATCACATGTGAATACTAACCTGGCCAGTAGATACAATAACCGGATCTTTCATCAACTCAAGTGATATCGGACATCGAAAATCATCTGGTATGATATGTGATCTGTGCTTAATTAAAGTTTTTTCACTCTTAGGGGCCTCATCGTCATCAGGATTTCCAATCAGAACACAATCCTTTATTTTTCTCAGAATATATGACATTGCCTCAAAGCACTCTGGAATACCTTCAGAAGAAATGACCATATCATGGATGGAGAGGGATTCCTTTTTAAGGTCATTTATGGTCTTGAGATGCAACTTTTCTGATAGTCTTTCAAATATTATAGCGTCAGGATCTTTTTCACTTTGTGCCATGGCCAAATCAATTTTCAGTTGCAAATCGGGTAAGCCAATGTTTGTTTTCGCCCTTCGAAATTGAGCATGCACAAGCTCAATCTGAAATCAAGGCATGTGAAACATATACTATCATAATAAGTCCAAGATAACTAACTCTTGAAATAAAAAGAGAAGAGATTATAAACAAAAGAGGTACTTGTTCTTGAACTTCCTCGGATATGTCAAGCTTATCGTAAGGAATGTGACCTAGTGCATCTTCTATCTCTTCTGTGATATTATGGAACTTGCCTGAAATTTTGTCTATTTGCATAGCCTGCAATAGGTATAGCACACAAGAAAAAACATAGCAGATGAAGTTCTATATCGGTTTGGTAGCATTGATTGGCTTATTCTGCTCATAAGTACTCCGTATAATTAATTATCTGAATAAGCCAACAATGACTTATTCTAATGAAATTGATTTCAACAAACTCTTATCGTATGAAAAAGATTCGGCAGGGTTATCCAATTTATTTCATCAAAATAACCTTTAACAACCAGGCTCCTAACTTCTAGAATCAATGGTAGGTTGAAGGTGGTATCTGAATTCAAATGCAAGACACCATTCCAATTGTGCCATTCCCATTCTTGATTAATTCTTCATTAACGAATACGTGATTTCTCATGCAGTTCCACTTTTCAACAAGAAATGTCCTAAGTAAGAGCTAATTCCTATAAATATTCTTCTTTGATACCGAATATTTAACAATTAGATGAAAGGGATCAATCAATGTGAACATAGAGCTCAAAGTTTAGTCTTAAAAAACCACGATACCTGAGAAATCTTACTGCCTTCATTGACTGATCTAAGAAGCTCTAGAGCTGAACAAAGGGAAAGTCTCAACAATTCAAGTCCCTCAATGGCGTCATCTCCAAGCTTCTTGTCTTCAATATCCATCAAATCTTCAAATAGAGGGCTCAACAGCTTAACCCTCCTCACCAAGTTAGAGTACATCTTTCTGGAGACCGTCTTGCACTCCGGCAAAGAAGAAATGGCCACAATCAAATCGGTGAGTTGACACAGCAGAGCCTCCTTCGAGTTATCCATATCGTGTTCCGACGAAGATTCCGCCGGAAGCTTGAAAGGTCTGCTCTGTCCGGATTCGAAGACACGCAGTTGACGCAATTGCGCGGTGACCGAGTTGACTCAACCCTGTAGGAGAAAAACAGGGGAAAACTTGGGTTGACTGAGCTGATTTAAGAAGATGAAGATGGGGAACTGGACGAATTCGAAGAATTTGGAGGGCACTAACCGAGTAATGACGAGAAATCTAAACAGGCTCCGTATCTTTGATGGGTGGAAGACGCAAGACGGCAAGAGGAGCTGAACTGAAATGAGGTTCTTGACCAAACTTCTCCGTATAATTCGGGGAATGGTGCCAATAACAATTATTAAGCCTTCTTAAGTCCCTATGACCTACTTTCCAGAGTATTTGTCCACTTTCATTTTTATACATTATTTAATATACTTCTTTAATTTATTTTATCTTATAATTTATATATATTAAAAAATTATAGAAATTATATATTAATAATCTATATGTTAAGACAAATCAAACAAGATCACACATGACTATATTTAGGCTTACACATTGAGAGAATTCGATGAGTCAAAGTGCTTAGATGAAAAGTTCCAAAAGTCAGAACTGAACGAATACTCCGGGACGAAGGGAATAGTTACTTGGCACAATTCTCATGACATTGTCTAGTAATGCTATTGAATGATTCGGGAATGCTCTGTTATCTTTTTGTAAAATTAACGATTTTTACCTTCCTAATCTCTCAATAAACTCTTAACTCCTTCAATTACATCCTACAAGTTAATTTTAACTTTGAAGTCAAATTTTGATTTCAAACACAAATTTAACTTGTCGGGTGCAATTGAAGAGAAGAATTCGGGTCGGGTCGGGGATGGAGTTAGGAGGGATCGGAACCATCAATTTTTAATTTCATTTCAGCAATTTTTTTTAAAAACTTACTCCCTTCATTGATTGCAACAATTTGATTTTTCCAATTAAACTGTACAATGTTGTGACCATAAATTATAGAAAAAATATATTTAGTCATAATGTAAATTTAATAAAATTAGTTTTATTTTAATATATAGTTTTGAAATATCAAATTTTTGTAAGATTTAATTATTTTAAACTATAGTTAATTTGTGGTAAACAAATTTTTACTGTTGAGATGAATGTTTTTAATTTTTTAAAAATTTAAAAAAATGAGAAAGTCGAGAAATGTTTTGTGAACCTAGATGAACCATAGAGGCAATCAAAAAATAAAACAAAAACTTCAGAAAATATATACGGAGTATAAGAAAAAAGAGTTAAAAAATGCATATTAAAAGCATTGACTATCTAAAAAATTTGAATGTTATTTTTGAACATTTTAGAGAATTGAATAACATTATTGAAAAAAATTGAGCGTGGAATTTTTGAAAAAAAAAATACTGTGGTGACACTCTTGAACATTTTAAAAAATTTAATAATAATACTATTGAAATAGGATCTCTCCTAATTTTAGTTGAGGGCCCAAAGTATATTTTGATAAAAGAATTAACTTTTTTTAAGCTTTAGCTTTAAAATTAGTAAGGAACATTGGCCTCCAACTAAAAATCAATATGAACCCGCCACCAAACGAGAGTGTGGTTACTCCGTTATTACCAAAAAGGATTAATTAGTGGACGAAAAAAAAGAAAACGAAATCCAAAGAGTCAATAGGATTAGGAAACCAAATAGAGTAAGAAATTTCCATGTACTCTATATAAATAAATAAAAAGTGGAAGAAATCTCTTCCCACCCATTAATTAAACCTCGCTGTTGTTAACAAACCTGAGAATCCTCTATCTCCCAGTACTCCCATGGCTGCCCCCTCAAGCAGTGGGAATAATCCTCCTGCCTTCACACCTTCTGCATCCCATGAAGACATTCTCCTTCCTTTCCAAAACCTGGGCTTGACCAGCAAAAGCTTTAGCAATAATAATAATAATCTCCAGCTCCCTTCTCATCAGAGCCATAATCTCAACTTGGCGCCGCCGCCATTGATGAACCAAGAACAATGGAGGAGAATCACCCAGCAGCAGCCTCTGCCCACACTACCCAGAACTCCTGGGAATCTCTGGGCACCTGCTGGCACTTTATTCACTCCCAGAACAGGTAAAAATCCCATCTTTAATTTCCTCCGAATCTTTCTTGATTTCTTAATTTCTTGATCGATTAAAGCTTCTGTTTTTGGTTTTGTACACAGAAAACAACAGCCATGGCGAATGCAGCAGTTCTTGGAACCGCCAACTTGGGGATGGTCAAAATCTGGGTTGTTATGATGGGCTGGTTGCAATGGCGAAAACGCAGAGAGGGTCAATGGAGCTGAACAAGTGTCTTAGGAGTGGGAATCGGAGGGAGAGGCAAGAGATTGTGGATTGGGTTATTATCGGTGGGTGCATGTTTGAGGTGATGATGCACAAGTATGGGCACCGTTTCTTCATTAGCCTACTCGACTTTTGTGATTCTGTTCAGCTTCACGCCATCTTTGTCACCTTGATGGCAGACCACGAGTTGTTTCTCTCCCTATCTCTTCTCAAGCATGGGTAATCAAACTAAACATTTCTTCTCACTCAATTCTCAATAAATTTTATAATCAATCATAATATGATGTTTTCTTTATTTAGTCCTTTAGTATGGTTATGGTATTTTTTATGGTATCTTTTCCCAAATAGTTCTTTTAATCTTTTGACATGTTGGTATTAACTTGATATCAACCCTAAGTTCAGTGTCCTATCCTGACGTCGGTTAGACAAACAACACAACAATAAAGGCCATAGCTGTGGACTAGGTTTTGACCCAACATATCTCCACGTTAATTTTGTCAATCTTTAGTACTCCTCCCCTAATATGCTCTCATTTTGAAAATCAGTGGAGGGTATTAAATAATGTGGGTGATGTATAATAAATAGAGTAGAGGGACATGTCACATTATTTCTCTTTTTATCTAAGAAAAATATAGGCTAAACTCATTATTGGTCCTTAAACTTTAACAGTTGTGCACGATTAGTCCTTCAAGTTTCAAAAGTCCATATGTAGTCCTTCAAGTACACGTTAGCCCTTCAGATGAGGTTCTTTTAACAATAAACGTTAAGAACTAAATGAAATACTAACTTCATATAATACAGAGTAGTTGTAGCTAGTAGAATTTACTCGTGTTATATGGAACTAGTATTTCATTTAGCTTTTAATATTACTATCAAAAGGACTTCATCTGGAGGCCTGACGTGTACCCTCTTCCTTATCTAGTAGATTTTAGCCAAAAATATATTCATGCATTTTTACTTTTCAATATTTTTTGGAAGTATGTGAAAATTAGACTGTAAAAGGTTTTTTTTATTGAATTGGGAAAGAATATTTTGCATTTAGTAATTAATTTATCTCACTTAGCTTCATGGCTTTGACAGGTCAAGTGCCGTGCAGGGATTTATCAAGAAACTTAAAAGGACAGGGTTGGGCCAATATATTACATCAATACTGTCTAGTAGATTTGTGGAGCTAATGAAAAGTGAACATGGTAGATTTGTAGTTCAACAATGCTTATACACCTTCAATGCCAAAGAAAATGAGGTCATTAACCATACTTATACCCTTACCTCAAGCCTTTTTAGTTTTTACTTAACCCTTGTTTGGTTAGTCATTTTCAACTCAATATATTTGAAAATTATATTGGTTTAGAATTAAACATAAAAAATTTGAAAAAAAGGAGGCAATTACTATTTTCTTTTTGTCAGATATATAGAAAAAGAAGATATGATTTGACCTTTGAATAGTTCATGAAAGCAGTACATTATGTTACTACTACATTTTACAAAATTAATTTCCCAACTTACTGCAGGTCTTATTCAATAGTACAGTATGTTACTTCAGAGAGCTGGCAACATCAGTATATGGGTGTGCATCATTGAATATATGCCTAAGTTGCATCTGTGGTGTCCATAGACTTCAACTGCTGGAAAATATAGCAGAAGAATCGGAGTTCCTGTCATACGATCCTTACGGGTACATGTTTTTCTGAAACGAATCTGAATTTTAACTCACAAGTTTTGTACTCTTCGGCTGAATGATGAAACTTATGTTGTATCTTCTTCCGTTCTGACAGGAACCATGTCGTCCAGGAAGTTCTGATGCTTAAAAACAACGAAATCACACGAAAAATATGTGATCGCCTCAAGAGGCATTTCATACACCTGGCTCTGAAGAAGAGTGGAAGCCATGTTGTGGAGAAATGCATACAAGCTTCTGAGTATGGATTGGAGTCTGTAGTGGAGAGCCTTATGGGCTGTGAAAAGACATTCTTGATCATTGCCCGTGACCGCTTTGGAAATTATGTCGTCCAAACAGCTCTTAAAACTGCAAAGGTAAACAAAACGCATCTCTTAAATCTCAATCTTGTTCTATCTATGTTTGATATGAGTCTCATTCTGGACTGTTTTTCTCTGTATACAGACTAGCAATTTCAGGCTTTACCAGTTGCTTGTTGCGGTCCTCAAAACACAATGGCCTGTTCTTTCTTCTAACATAATTGGGAAATACGTATATAAAGAAATGAGAGATTTGGAGAGCAGTACTGAAAATGTCTGATTTGTTTTTGTATGTTGATTTTGAAATGCTAGTGCAAACCCCATGTCCAGGAGCTGTAGGTTCTTCGTTGTAAGTGTTTTGGAAAAATTTACTGCATGGAACATTTGTGGTTTAGTTTGTTCAAATTCTGTTTTTGATGATTCCATTTCCCTTCATCCATGGTTCTTTATTTCCTCTTTATTGTTTAACAAGTAACGGGCACAGGTGAGGGACGCCACTTGTTTTATAAGTCACAACTCCCTATAATATATACTCCCTTTGTCTAGATTTAGTTGTCCACTTATTTTTTATTGTCCTGATTTAGTTCTTCATTTTCTATATTAAATAAAGAAATTATAATGAATTGTCTATAGATTATGCTAACGATAGGGCATGAGTATTGTTGACATAAACTATTGAGAAACACATTTAAATGACATATTTGAGATGTTCACTTAATTCTTAGAAAGTGGATGACTCAATCTGAACAAAGTGAGTAACCAATTCGCCATCACATAAACCAAGTACGGTTAAAAATGTTATTCTCCAGGTTCGAACAACTAATTTAACCTATTTTGGTACGGTATAACTATTGTAAATTATTAGTTCTACACTTCTACTACTTCTAGACTTTGTTCGGTTTCACAAATCACGTGGAAAATCAACTTCGTTTCATCAAATAGAATTTTTGTGATAAAAAGTTATAGAAATAGTCACTTTCTAGTTTCTTGGGATGAATGTAGTAATAGCAAATAAAAGGTTCAAAATATTAATGTGAATTGAAAGTGACCATCATGGCAACTTTCTGGATATGAAAATATGATCAAAGAAACCTTTTGAATGTTGCACAGTGCACTAACCGCATAAGAAATATCTGGACCATTGGTTGTCGGGTAATTCAGTCTTCCAACAAACAAGCCATCTGTATGGTTCTTGGTCCGATTGCGTGTCATCTTGTTCGGGTAAGAGCTTCTAATTATGATCCATGAAGCTAAGAATGGGAACACAACAAAACAATGTCAGCAAGAAACTGTAAGAATATCAAGTGCATATTTTCTCTGAAATACAGCAAGACTCTACTACTCTTAGAAGCTACTTCCATTCCAAAAATATATATTTTGATTTCCGTAAATATTGTCTTGGAATATATAATCAAGTTGTGCCTTGAGCTGGGAGATGTCGTCCTCATTGTTTCATTTGTTCAAAACTGAGGAGACTACTCCATGTAAAGTTGTAAACTTCTTCTGAAGCCTGAAGGCCACCATGAAGAAAAACATTCTTGACAAACAGAAATAGTGAGGCCCATGAAAGCAATTTTGGCAACAAGAGAAAAAGTATTTGTGTAATTTTGAGGCATAAAGATGAGGGTATCTTTTAGAGACAAGCCTTTAAAATTATCCACTGTACCAACAGCTCTAATTTTGACATTACAGCTCTCCCTGCAACTAACAACGGACATAAACAGAGGGAGAAAACCCAGTTCCAGAGTATCAACTATTAAAACTGCCATTTCTATCAACACAGCATGTGGCCAACGTCAAATCCTTGATCTGAGAGAAATTTGTTGGTTTTAGCACAGCAGACAAATGGGAGAGAAAACATCATATTCCCATAATAAACTTCGCAGTTTAGTTTACGATGTTTGATTGAAGTTATTTTTAATTCAATTTATTTAGATATTGGTGTCAAATTGTTTTTTAAAAAATTACCATTTTAAAAACTACATTGGATCCCTGCGAATAGTTAATACAACAACAAACCAATTGGATCCCACATGAGTAGAGTCTAGGGGAGGCTGTTTCCAAGAAAAAAGGCACAACAACATAGAGCACAAAGCATAAAAGCACAGAGCACCAAGAATAAAAAGCACACAAGTTGGAAAACTACCACCAAGCCCAAAATGCCTAGCTAACTACCCTAATCCTAGCTCTCCAAATGTTCCTATCTAAGGCCTACAAATAGTTAATAGTGATTGTGAAATTTATTTGGAAATAGAGGGAGCAATACAGAGAGACGCAACAATACCTAAGAAAAGAATACAAAAGAGCAGCTACCTTTTCCGAATGCAATGGGTGCCATCTTGGAGAGAATCCTCAGTTAGAGAGATGGAGGATCCAGGAGAATCAGCAGTGGGAGGTGATGTCAGAGGACATGGGTAGAAATATGAACATGCAAGAATGGCAGATAAGCAGACATATTGATAGAATGTAGACTATTTGTGGGTAGTATGGAGATGCTAGAAGGCAAACATTAAGGTTCGAATGGAGATGATTTATCTAAGAGAATAACAATGATATCCCTTTTGAAGACGGAATAACAAGAGATACACACTTGATTGGTTTGACCAGGAATCATGTTATGGACCAAAAAAAATGCAGCCAAAATTACGAGGACACAAAGAAATGGCTCACGGCTAATAAAGAGTAAGGAACTTTATTAATTAAAGAAGACATGCAATTAATGATGTGACAAGCCATAACAATACTATCTGCCCAAAAAGTACATGCAACATGAGAATATATCAGAACTCGTGTCATGTCTGCTATATAGGTAGTGTAGGAATCATTAAATTATTCCTGTGCATTATCACCAGGTAACATACAAATGGTTTTGTAAAGCCGAGTTCAGCATAGAAGTTTTGAAAATCATTAAAAAGTTATGGCCGATCCTTCATAATGACCCACGTACATCTGAAGTCATCAACAAAGAGAACAATGAAATTAAATCCCATTATATAGGTGACTCGATATGGACCCCCCACATCAGTATAACATCATTTCTTAGCTCATCGTGATATCACCTCTTTAACTCATCATGATATTATCATCTTGTTTCTTAGACTCGTTTCAAATATTCAATTAGAAACAATGTTGATGGTGTCAATATTATAAAAATGGCTATAATTCTTTGGCCAGGTCTCCATTTGTAGACGAATTATTATTAGAACAGTAATAGAATTGAACACTTGGTCACAGATAGATTGTAATTCAATTGGATATGTGATATACTAATGCTGCTATATAATAATGAATAAAATAAATATTTCAATTATAACTCAGATTATGTGATAGTCTGTAGAAAAGACATTACTTGCTTTTCATCATTATCATATGATTCATTGATTTAGTGTCATTACAATTCTGAAAATAGAAGAGTGCATAAAACAGATTGGTGTAGTACAAGAGTGTAAAATAAATAAAATTTTGATGAAGCCGATGGTACAAACGAAACAAGTTTAATGAAAACATGAAGGTTTGCAAAGATCTAAACATAAACGTCCACTATTTTATGTTCAACTATATATTTACGGAGTATAATATAAAGTCGTGCATAGAGCACACACACACACAAATTCATCTAGCATGCATAGAGTGGATAATACCTTCAGACCGTCTTGCAATTCATAAATTGTTCACTAGGACAGCCCATGTTTCGTCATCCAGAAGGAACCCACTTAAGACCAAGAACTGTTTCAACTTGTTCGCCTAAAATACAATCCTTCTGCAACAAAGTTGTTCACTAGCACATACCATGTTACATCATTGGGAACGAAACCATTTAAGACGCCTCTGTTCAAAAGCATATAAGCATCACCTAGCATCCCAGCTTTACAATAGGTAAAAATTAAAGTACTGTAAGTGAATACATCGGGCAAAACTCCCTCATGTTGTATATTTTCAAAGAGGTTCTGTGCTTCTCGTACTTTCCCCATCTTACACAACCCATTTATCAAGCTGTTATAGGTAACGATATCAGGTGCCAATCCTCGGAGTACCATCTCTCTCAGAAACTCCAGTGCATTTTGTACCTTCCCCAATGTGCAGTAGGTATTAATCAGAATATTGCAACATAGGTTATTTGGTTGGAAGCCCTGACTCAACATTTCTTCAAGAAGTGCTAATGCTTTCTCAACTTCTCCATCTCCGCAAAGTGCTTTGATGAGTCCAGTATATGTGATTTCGTCAAAGGGACATCCTCTGAAGATCATATCATTGGCAAGCATATGTACTTTTCGGGTTGCACCCTTTTTCAATAAATGATGAATTAATGTATTGTAGGTTACTGTATTAGCAATGATTCCCTCCTGGAAAATTTCCAAGTACATCCCTAGTGCCTGGTCAATCTTATCAATTTTGCAAAACCCAAGAATCAATGCATTAAAAGTAAAAATGTCAGGTTTGCAACCTTTATTCCGCATATCATTTAACATTTCAAATGCTTCTTGGATATTCCCCTTTTTGCACAAAGCGGATATAAGACAGTTATAGCCCACAGTGTTCAGGCTGAGCCCACGTGTGGACATATTACTGATTACCTGGTAAGCTTCCTTTAACAGACCTAGATTACAGAACCCATCAATTATCATAGTATATGTAACTACATTGGGCTTTGAAGCACTGACTGACATTTCCTTCAGTGTTTCAATAGCAGAAGACAGATCTCCTTTCTCGCAAAAACCCCGAATCAGAATATTATATGTATAAACATCTGGTTGATAGCCACTAGCCAACACGATCTTATCAACAAGAGCTTTTGCTTCATCCAGTTGCCCAGTACTCACATAACCATTAATTAAAGTATTAAACAAGACATTGTTAGGATCAGGCACTTTATTTAGAAGAGTTCTTGCTTCATCCACCTTCCCACACCGGCAAAAAGCATGCATTAACACCCCATATGTTATAGCATCCGGGACCAAACCGCGAGCAAACATCCTATCAACTAACTTAGCAGCCTCGTGAATTCGACTCGTGTGACAAAGCCCATGTATAACATCATTGAAAGTATTAACATCTGGGATGCAACCCATAAGGAACATCTCCTCTAACAGTTGGAGCGCTTCATCCACCCTTTTAGCATGTGAGAGTGCACGTACCAGCATCTGGTAAATTACTGAATTAGGGACACACCCATGTTTCATCATATCCCGAAGAAGTGAGCATCCAGTGTCCACCTCATTGACCATGCAACATGATTGTATCACTCTGGCAAAAGTGCACACAGTAGGAGATATACCTTTGTTCAACATATCATAATAAACATTTTGCGCAACCTTAGGACAATTGCCAACCACAAGAATGTCAATCACAACATTGTATGACTTAAAAGTCGGTTGACAAGAGAATGCACATTTCATATCTAAAAGTAATCTGGTTGACTGCCCGGGGAAACCAGCTCTCCCATAATGCTTCATTATCATTATAAAAAGGGACTCCCTTAAAACTATACTTTCTTCGTCTTTCATCTGCAATAGCAGCCTATCTATAACCTTGAATTCATTTGCAGCCCCAAGCTTATCAATCAAAGTATAGTACACATCATATGTGTGACTATACCCTATCTGCTTACCAGCCCTTTCAAATAGCTCCATTGATGTCGGTACATCCAAAGGGAGTGCCAGTAGCTTATTTAGCTGATAAGGGCTAATCTTTTTAAGTGATTCCCGAAGTTGTTTGAGGTCATAAGGCTTAAGCAATCTCTCCCATTCATTTTCTGATTCTGACCCTATACCATTAAAATCCGAACTCGTGTGTTTCTCATCAAGGCCACAAGAAAAAAATGCAAAACTGGAGTTTTTGAAGAAAATCTGCAACTTCCCATGCATGTGAATGGAAAGCTTTGATCTTTTTATCATCACTCTAAAACGGCATACCAGAAATTCCAAAGCAATAATTATACTAAACCCTTGAATGGTAGTACACTCAAGACACTTACTCTTGTAGAACAAAGTGTTATGGAGTCAACATCAGAAAGAGATATAGGCTTTTCACCTGGAAACAAAAAAATGAAAAATGACAAAAAAATAGCACTCTGATCCCAAGAGTTGAATATTCTAAAAACACTTTTAAAGTAATATGAGTAAATATAGAGTTAATGCTTGTTTTAGTCCCTGTAAGTGCACACACTAGTCAATTTGGTCGCTGTAATTTTGGTTTAGTCAAATTAATCCTTGTAACTAGGAAATGTAAATCAAATCAGTTCTTTATGAAAAATTTATATTCTAAAATTCTAAGCTAACACGTTAATTGAAACAAAAACTAATACACGGGGTCATTGTTCTTGCATCAATTAATGTGATAACTCAGAACTTTACGAGATAAATTCTGTTCAAAGCACTGACTTGATTCATATTTTCTATATATAGGGACTAATTTCACTCAAATGAACTTACAGGGACCAAATTTAGTCGTGAGTACACTTAGAGGGGCCAAAATGAGTATTAACTCATTAAATATATATTTGAAGAATTTCCTTGAAGTGTTTCAAATGTACAAAATCATTTTTTGTCATCCACCCTTCACTTACCATATCTGATTGAAAATCAAAGAGTTATAATAACTTTAGTAAACCCTCAGCCAAAATAGCCTGAAGCAGCAGATCACCCAGATCTATATATCATAAAGTCGCCTCTTTAGTGGAAAATCACCACAGAATTGGCCATTTCAGATTGCATTTTCAAGATTTTACTTAGTTTGAAAGATAATTTTCTTCTCACCTCTTCCATTTACGTATGCTGCCTTCAGATTAATATCCGTACCGCTTCCATTTTTGGTCAAAAGGGTAGCTCAACACAGGGAACAGAGAGACAAAACGGAGAAAGAAATACGGAGTAAGGATAAAGAAAGATTCACAAACTTACATGAACTCAGCGGAGTGACAATGAAATCGGATGGTTTCAGTCATCCAGACATCCAACAGAGAAGAAAGGATCAAACAGAGAATCATTTCTGAGTTTCTCCTCATCTTAACGCACCATGTTTCAAAAAAAAAAAAAAAAAAAAAAAAAANGCAATGGTACCAATGCATTTTCTTGGTCTCGGATACATTAGGTTTTGGAATAATTGGGTTGAGATATTTTGGGATAGGATTAAGCTATGTGTACCCCAACATTTATATCCCAATTTGTACCATGTAGGTTTGCACCAACATTTTGTGTTTGTGTAAAACTAATTTTTGTTAATGTATCAACACTTTGTGTCCGTATAAATTTTTGTTAACGCATCAACACTTGTGTCGGTATAAACCAACAAAATGTTTGTGCATAACTATGGTGTACAAATGGGGTATGTTTTTTGGTGTAAGTGTAGCATAGTCCTTTGGGATATATCTTATAATTGGTCTTATTTGGATCAGTTTAGTTTAATTTAGATTTGAATTTAATTAAGTTCAATGCATTTTCTTGGTTTTAGATCGCTTTTGGATTGGCTCATATGTCAATTGATTTGAATCAAGTTTGGTTTTGGATACATTTCGATTCAGATATATTTTAGTTCGGGTACATTTGGTTTCAGACATATTTGCATATATGTTATTTTTTAATTAAAATTTAATTATTCGTTCATTTTTTGTTATATTGTATTTATCAATCTATCATCAATTTATTAGCTCATATTATTTTATACTTTTTTCGTCATAAATATCATCTATTTTTATATTTTTATTAATCTTTTATAAATTTGAATTATAAATTATAAAAGAAAAGTATATTTAGTTCTGATATAAAATTAATATAAATAAATTACCAAGTTACATACAATTTTGTTAGAATATGTTGAAATTGAGCAGGTAGAAACCCAGGATTGGATGAGCAACCCAGAGGGCAGTGATGCGGATAGCATGGATGGCCCGGAGTTTTTCTTTATTATTTAAATTGTGTTATTATTTGTCTCCCTAAATGGAATGTCTGAACATTATTTGGTTTTCCTTAAACTTCCGCGAAGTTTGAACTTATATTATTATTACTCTGATGAACTTTTGGTTTAGCTTAAACTTTTATGGATGGATGTTAAATTTATTTAAATGCTTAAGAAAATTTGTGCATGTGAAAACCAATTTAGTAACAACCTGGTTCGCTAACATGATGGTTCAAGTTACGCGGGTTAGAGTGTTACATATTGGTATCGAAGCATGTGGTTTTAAAAGTGATTTTTGGGCCACTATTGGTCAAATATTTAAGTATTAATAGTAATAATAATTTATCAAAAAATAAAATAAATAAATATAAATATAACACTACTCTGAAAAAAACTATTTTGTGTTTTAAAAAAAACTATTACACTATACATAAGTACCTTGGGCATCCACAGCTTTACGACATCACTACTCTGGGAGGTAATTTTAAATCCTTAATTATTTTATAGTTATGTGAAATTTTTTGCTTAACTTAGTAAACTATAAATTGTAGAATTGACCCTAACGCGAACATCAACGACAATCACTGTGAGGGAGATAGTGTGTCTCCCTAACAACTTAATGAAAATTCAATGGCGAATCAAAACGCCCCCCATCAAAAAGCACTGAATGGTGGACCAGCTGGGATCCCGCAGGTGGATCATGCGCTCATGATGCAGCTCGTGCAACAAATGCTTATTATGAATCAGAACGCCTTGGCTAGACAGCCCGAGCCAAGGGTCACTTTAGAGAAGCTAAGAAAGAATGGAGCCAAACAGTTTCTCGGTGAAAACATTGTTAATCCATTGGTAGCATTCTGATGGAGCGCGTGCGGCACGTCGCGTGTTTGAGAATTTAAGGGCCCCCTCGGCGAGTGGGCTGACATTGTGGTGATGTTGTTGCATAGCAACGCGTACGAGTGGTGGATACATACCACTCAAAACATAAATTATCCTCCACATATGACGCGGGCGTACTTCGATCAGGTGTTCAAGGAGGAATATATATATATACCAGAGTCATTTGTGTAGGAGAAGCGTGAGGAATTTGTGCATCTTCAGATGGGGACTATCAATCTTTTTTGAGCTCTTCTCATCCCCATCTTGATACGGGGTATTACACCACGAGCCTGCCAGAATATCGTCAGATGTTTGACCACTTAGCGGAGTTCGCTCAGGATTTAGTGAACACCACGAAGAGACACTGCGACAAATTTATTAAGAACATGTGCATGAACCTCCAGGAAGGTATGGCAACGGCGTCAAAAGCAAGATTTCGGGCTCATGTACGAGCAAGATAGGGAGGTGGTTAAAACTAAAGAGGGAGAAAAGCAAGAAGTGGCGCAGAAGGTGAACAAATTATCGATGCAGGTTGCTAGTGCTAGTAAAGCCTATTCCACGAAAAGACCCCCGAGTGGATCTGGTATAGAGTTATCGAAGAAGCCCAAATTAGTGCCTGCTCACTCTACGGTGTCCAGCAGCAAGTCAAGACCGCCAAAGCATCCGATGTGTGGTACATGTGGAAGAAACCATCCGGGTGAGTGCTGGAGGAGCTTGGGGTTGTGCATGGGATGCGGGCACTCTGGCCATTTCAGGAGGGATTGTCCTACGAACCTTGGTCCTCCATTTCCTACGGCTGCGACATCTACTCAAACGACGGCTCCCCGACCTGCCCAAAGTCATCGCTCAACGGCCCGATCACAGCCTCAGCGACCCCAGTAGCAGCGGCCGCCTCAAGATGCACCACATCAGCAGGGCTGGGCTCCAGCGAGGACATATGCTATGCAAGGGCGTGCTGATCCTAATCCCGACGTCATACTTGGTATGTTTTCACTCTTTGGTTTGGATATGTTAGCATTGATTATGACCTTGGGTCTACGCTATCTTATATATGTGTTCCTTTGCCTGCTAATTCTGATATCACAAGAAGTCGTCTACAGAGTCCAATATTGGTGTCCAATCCCCTTGGGCACTTCATGAATCTGCATCACGTCCACCGACAATGCCTTTTGTCCACACGTGGGAAGTCATTTCCTACATATTTAATCGAACTTCCATACAAAAAATTTGATATTATTCTTGGTATAGATTGGCTTATCAAACACCAGGTGGTTGTGCTTTGTAGTTCGAGGGCTGTTCGGTTGACAGCCTTAGATGGTAACACAATTATGATAAACAGAGAGTTGTTCCCTAAAGCGCCGCCGTAATTTATATCTTATATGCAAGCTAAGAGATTGGTTCGTAAGAAGTGTGAGGCATTTTTTGTAATGTGAAGGATGTATGGAAGGAGTCCCTTAACCTAAAGGACATACCCTCCGTATGTGATTTCCCTGATGTGTTTCGTGACGAGCTTCTAGGTATGCCTCCTCCAATGGAGGTAGAGTTCTCCATCAACTTAGTTCCCGGCACTGAATCGATTTTGGTTACACCATATCACATGGCTCTGTCAGAGATGAAGGAGTTAAAGGCGCAGATACACGAGTTGTAGGATAGGGGATTCATCTTCCCTAGTGTCACTCCTTGGGGCGCACCTATCCTTTTTGTATGGAAAAAATATGGATCTATAAGACTTTGCATTGACTACCAGCAGCTCAATAAGGCGACCATTAAGAATCGTTATCCATTACCGCGTATTGATGATTTATTCGACCTGCTTCATGGAGCTCGAGTGTTCTCGAAAATCAACTTGAGGTCCGGGTACCATCCAATCCCAATTAAGAAGGAGGACATACTGAAGACAACTTTCAGGACTCGTTACGGACATTACGAGTTCACAGTTACGCAGGTTAGGGTGTTACAATGGCGCTTGTGCATTTGAAGACTTGTATTAGTTTGTGGGACCAGTCTAGCTAGCTAGAGTCTCAACAGTAGTCATCCTTGGCTTGTAAGGCTAGTGTGTTACATGATCTGTCATTAGTCATATATGCTAGTGAGGGTGTCCTTGCTTCTTTTCATGTCTACATTAATGACATCATTCTTATGAGAAACTCACTATCATCGTATGTGTAAGTCACTTCAAATTATTAATTTGGCTTTTACTGATGATTTAATTATCGTTAGTAAAGATGACAAGGGATCAGTTTAGATCATACTAGAGTGCCTGGACCATTTCAGAGCTGTAATAGGTTTATAAGTAAATTACTCTAAATCTCAAATGATTATTGGAGGAGTACAAGATTAGGAGGCTGTGGAGCTATTGAGAATGACTAAAATGGACAAGGAAGAGCTACTTTTTAAATATTTAGGTGGTCTCATTACTAATGGTAAGATAAGTGCAAAGAAATGTGAATATTTGGTTGGTAAGATCACTTCAAAAATCATTGTTTGGACATCAAAAAATCTCTCATATGCAGGAAGATGTAGGCTCATCAATTCTGTGCTATTTGGGGTCATTTCTTTTTTATGCAGAATGTATGTAATCCCTACTTAGGCAATGCAGAATCTCCAAAGTGTCTGTAGGAACTTCTTATGGGGTTCAAAGGCTATGTATTGTAAAGTTCTCCTTGTCAGTTGGGATGATGTTTGTAAACCAAATAAGGTTAGATGACTGGGATTCAAGAATTTGTGTAAGTGGAACTATGCTTGTAACCACAAACTAATTTGGGACATGCTACTAAGAAGGATATATTATAGGTTAAATGGATCTATAATAGATACCTAAAGAAAGACACCATCTGACTTATCCCTCCCAAGGTTAGTTTCTGCTATTACATGAAGAAGATCTTGAGTAATAGAAGGTTGTTTGAGGGGATGAACAATAATTAGGAATATCAGGTTCATGGAGGATATGATTGGCTAATGGAAGATGGAAATAAAATGCAAGGGTGCCAAATGATTTGGAATAAACTTACTACTCCCAAGCATCAAATCATTCCTTTTATGAATGGAATTGAGAAATAGACTTTCCATAGTAGTCATGCTTAGTAGGTTCATATCCACTAATCTAACTTGTGTTCTCTATTCTCATGACATGGAAGAGAAAGAGCATTATTTGTTCTACGCATGCAGATACACAAAACAAGTTCATTCAGAAGGACATTAACAGC